TTTAAATAATAATAACTAGAAAATTAATGTTATCAGTGTTTTCACTGTAGCTTCAAAAATAGTGACTTTGCACGCAGTTTGTGTATGTAATTTTCCAGTCTCTGCATTACAGTCTCTGCGTTTCCAATCTATATACCATCAGCAAAAGAGACACTCAGTACACTCTTTTTCCTGCCTAATATAAGAAATTTGGGTCAATCATTTCTGATTTTAGAGAGCAAGATGTGGTGACATGTATACAGCAGTCAGTACTTCAGACAATGAATTCTACTTTTGGGGAACACGCTTTAAAACTCCGCCCACCGCCATGGATGACACACAGAGAAGTACCAACAGTATTAATGACATTGCAGACACAAAAACTTCAGAGAGTGGAAATGCAAGTCGTCCTAACTCCAGCAAACCGTCTCACTCTCGGCAGCCTAGTATGTCCAGTATGAAGAGCCTCAACAGTTCCAATGAAATTGCTCAGGAAAAACTGTCACTCACCAGTAGGGGAGGTAGGTTATTTAAATGATTAGCTTTAAACTTTAAGGTAAAAAAATATTTTGCATTAAAGCAGCGCAAGCCAGTTACTATAAGTTACTATAAGTAACTGGCTCGCGCTGCCAGTAATTACGCCGCGGGATATTCAGGGCACAGACCGTGATCATAAGATACCGCAAATAGAAAATAGATTTTTAGAAAATAGACTTTCCATGTGAACGAAGCCTAAGCCAGGGAACTGACTTAAGTTGTTTTTTTTTTTTTTAACCTGGGTCAGTTCACTTCTCTGGTCATTCCAGGTTCTGCTGGGTCCACTGCAGTGGAGTCCACTGTGGTCCCTCCATTTAGTGACCGTCAGCTGAGTAATGACAGTGTGGTATCTCAATCTCAGGACCTACTCAATACTAGCCATGATAGTGGGACAAGCACATCTCGGGGATTTAGACCTATCAGTAAGTGGCTGAAAGCGAAGAGGTTTATAGAAAAACATATGCAGTTCACTTTCGTAATCATTAATTCATTCATTTATTCAGTACATTCCATGCAAGTTGGGGTAATTTTGTGTGAATTTAGACCCTAGTCACAGTTATGGTATTTAGCTATGGGATTACACTATACATTCTATTTTATGACATGCTAAAAACTTTTTTTATTCCAGAAAAAGATAACTTTCAGATGTATTATTATTGATGTTTTTGCTTTAATTATTCACATTGTGAGAAACAGTCGTGAAAGTGCAGCGAAGGGCTTAATTGCTGATTTGTACATTTGGAATTTAAACAAGAAATCTTATGATGTAAAATCTAAAGTGTGAAATCAACACTGAAGAAGAGTGTAAATTACAAGCTAAGAAATATAAGACACGTCTGTATTTTCCTATCTTCCAATTATGAATTAGTGTATTACAATGGCCAAAGCTGACTCACTGCATCTTTTTAATTGCCTTATAATTAGGTAGCACACCACGCCGCCTTAACAGTGCCGGCACCAACAGTGGATCTGGAACAGCCAGAGACAAGACACGTGAGAAGGAGCAGGAGAAAGAGAAAGAACTGAATAAGGATGAGACTGACCTGGTCCTACAACCAACACATTTACTTATGTGAGTCTTTGATATACCCATATTTTTCATGATTATATTGAATCAAGGTACAAAATTATTGTTAGGACACTGAACTTATTGTCACTGTTTTAAGACTGTGTTACTTGAATTTTCACCTTACGTTTTAATAAGAATGAATGGACTACATTTTAAATAGTGAATTTTGAAATCTTTATAAAGAAATAAGTATTACCATTTCCATGTGAAATGTTTAATTGTACACTAGCTTTGAACTGTGAAATTAAATTTATGACTTGCAACAAACTTGGACATCTATGCTTATACCTATTTGCATTTGAAACCTTCAGTTTATTTCTTATCACAAATTCTTGTGGGTAATGGTTTTAACACATATGTAGTGTAAATAAACTGATTATTACTACTACTACCAATATTCATACCACGTTTAGCCTGGTACCTGTCAGATTTTAGGGTGATTCAATTCATTTTCACATTTGTAATTTGTTATCTATGTTCAACCAAAAAATTTTTTTAGAACTTTTGATTTTATATATATTTGCCTTTCAGATCTGCCTCAATTCTCTTAAAGCTGAATGTCATATTGTCCCAGCTTCAAGCACTTGCGTAGTATAAACACAGCATTGATTCTGAACCACTCTATTTTTACTCTTTGTCTTTATTTTTGCAGGCTCAATGTTACTTCTGATGGTGCATCAGCAGATACAGTACTGCTGTCTAACTTTTGTTGCCACGGTGAAAATCTCTTTGTTCAGGTTGAAACAACGGCCCCTCCACCCAAGAAGAAAATGAAGAAAAAGAAGTCATTTAGGTAGGAAGTGACTTCAGTGAAACCTGTAGATTCTACAATCAAACTACAAAAAAAAGATAAATATTTAGCCAATTTTTTCTTTATTTGAGAATATAATTAGCAAGAAGAAAAATAATGGTAATTTGATTTGCACTTTATGAAAAGTGTTATTTTTGAATTTGCACCCAATGTGCTTACAGAGTATTGTTTTACTACGAACATTTATTTTTCCTTGATAATGTCAGGAAAAGAATCAGCACCAATACATTGGAAGTTCCTGAAAAAATATACAGCAGGGATACTGTGGATGAATATTCCTCAGAAACTTCAGAAATGGACACATATGGCACTGTAAGTTGAATATAAAAATGTTGAGTATAAAAATCACACCATGAGCATTAAATCTTTATGTATTTCCCTGGAAGTTTTAAAACTTCCCTTAATCACCAAGGTATACCATATCTAAAACTGTTCACAAAATTTAGATCTATCTTCAAATATCTGTGTATATAAATTTTTGAATTCTCTATATCTGTTTGTGTCATCACCACCACGAAGTCATCGTTGTTGATGTCATATCTGATACATTGGTTTGCTCATAACTACTCAATCATTTTTTGTTTTGCTTGATATTAACTCTGTGATTTTGTTTGGTAAAATGTAGGCAGAGTTCATAATACAGCATGATCAGATTATTGTTTCTAAAGTTATTGGATTATTTATGTTTTTTTACACATTAATGCTAAATTTACAAGTGTGTGTGTGTGTGTGTGTGTGTGTGTGTGTTTTAAATGCCCAAAAAATCATATATTTGATTTACTTCAGATTTGCGAATAAACTTTCTTATTAATGAGGGCAGGTAGAGTTTGAAAAGAAGGGTGATTGATTAAAGTGAGCTTTTGTTAAATGTCTGTGTTGTTGCCGCTTTATCTGTCTAGTTCGAGTTCTAAGTTTCTAATTTTGTTGTCACTCTTCTAATGGAAATGAGGGATGGTAAATTTCACTTCTGACACTGAAAGTTAGATATATAGAGCTTGAAAAAGGACTTGCAGATTATGTCCTTAATGTTTTTTGATAGGATAACCCATTGTCACAGTGGTAAAGGGAAAACTGCTGAAAGTTCCAGGATATGAATTTTTTACTATATAAAGGTTTAGTGCACATTGTATGCCTACTCCAGCATAGTGTTCCCACAAACGAATATCAGGTGCTGTTGGTTTTTTTGCATTCAGCATGTACAAGTCAAATGTTTATTATCTTATTTATAGAAACATTTGGCAGGCAGCGAAGGTAAAGTCTGCGAGAGCAGTAGAAATGTGGCTGGCAGTACAGATTACCATGGAGACAGTGTGGTGAATATCCAACTGTTTGATGGCTTGTGGTGTTGTAGATAGTTAATTGGATTCATTTTTTTTCTGATAGCTAGTTTTTGAGCTGCAGTTTTCTTTTCAGTGCACCTACCTGTTGTAAGCTGACTTTTTTAGTGTGTGTTAGCATTTTTTGAGTGTTTGAAATGATTCAACGAACACATTTTAATATACACTAGCACATGTACTGTTTTATCTTTTCGTGAAATAGATTTTTCAGTGTCTTTTATGTAATAGTGGTAGAAAAGTAAATTGTTTCTAAACCTGTTTTTCTACCCAAGACGTATGAAGTCTCTCTCTATGTTTTCTGAACTGTGTCAAGCTTTTGCAACTCCACTGCCCCATCTACCATGATATCCTAGCTGCTGGAGTTCACATCAACGAGTCAGTTGTGTGATCAAGTCCCTTTGGAGATGGGTCAAGTTGTCATGCCTCATCAGTAGAAAAACATGTTCAGCCTCTTTGTAAAGAACTTACTTTTTTACCAGTTTAAAACTTTAATCGAAATTTTGTGTTGCTTAAATGAATTGAATAGGGTATAGAAAAGTAGTCTCCATTGTTAGTTTTATAGATATGTCATATAATCATTTAGCTGGCACAAAAGTGGACACTTTCATTGCAAGGTCTTGATTTATTATTATTTTTTTTTATTTATTTTTTGATGCCATCAGCCTAGAGCTCAGTACTGGTGTTTTGCTACAAAAGCTTATTGATGTTGTCAAGAGTGTGCTTTTTACATAATGCGTTGAATTCTATTTTACTCATCTAATAGTACCTATGCTTTAATGAATCAATATATTAAATCATTTAATGAAGTTGGGATAATTATGATATGTTTTTTTACATTTCTGTAGATTCAAGAAACACACATAGAAAGAATTGTATAATTGTTCCATACTTCAGGAAAGCAGTTGATGCAAACAGACCATGGCTAAATGACTGTTAAAAAACTATAATGTGAAAAATATTTTTAACGGTTGCAACAAATGTATAGTTATCTTCAATGTTCCCTCAGATTCCTGCCTGGATAAAGAATGAGCTTGCTCTCTCAGAGATGGATATCAAAGATGGTAATGAGCCAGATGACACAACTGACCAATCAGATGAGGATATTCCTGGAAAAATGCTGGACTCTTCCAGGTCTAGTATTCAGGTCAACAAGGACCTCAAACCAGGTACAGAATTCTACGATGTACTTATTATTCTGAGGAAAATCATTTTAAAGACTTTGTAGGATTTTATTGAAATATTGTCATAATGGTAGATTATGTTTTGAAATAATTATACTTGAGTTCCAATAATTTTTTCCACAATTTTTAAATTTTTTCCAGATAAAAAGAAAAGTGTGGATAAGAGTGGCACAGGGAGCAAAAAGAATGGAGGGAAATTAAAGGTGGGTATACAGAATTAGTTTTTTTTTGTTTGTTTGTTTTGTTTAAAAAATGGACATCATTTACGGCAAATGATATATTAGGCTAAGAGAGATTCAACAAGACCTTTCCTGGTAGCTTTTAAATTACTACCCAAAGGAACACTAAAGAAACGTAGTGTTATTCTTTGAAAAATGATTTATGATATAGTCTATGTTGTTTTTTTAATTGTACAGGAGTCTGTGATATTCAAAGATGACCATAGGCCACATGCACTCCAGGTGCGTGGCAGTTCTTCTGGAGTGGAGAGCGGTGTGGAGTTCACCCCTGTGGATCCCATGTCTAGTAGTAGCTCCAGTGATAACCTACAAGGAGCAATCAGGTAGTGATAAAATTATTGGCACAAGGGACATCTTAACTCCATATAAAAATTTGGAGCATGCATACCCTGGAAAGTCTTTTTTTTTTATTAATTAATTTTTGAAAATTTTATTTATTTATTTTTGAGGATGAGTTTTCATTATGGGCTTGTCCATTGAGTTTTAACTTCTAAGAATTGGTGAATTTTGCTAACTACAGGGCAAACTGTACTGGCCTCATGTAGCAGGTTGCTGGCATTACGTGTCTAACAAAAGATAGTTTTGGGGAAACTTCTCTATGTATTTTGTTTGGATTTAGTGAATTATTACTGTAGCAATATGTATCTGCATGCATTGTACTGTATTTGACCTCCCATCTTAAATCCCTAGTGTAAGCCTGCTCTCCCTGTTCTTTTTCTCTAGTGCTGCCAAGACCCCAAAAGCATCTGACCCCACTCCAGTGTCTAGGGCCCAGCTAGCAGCACAGCAGCCAAGGAAGGCTTCTCTCTCTCCATACAAGACCAGAGTAGGGTCTACACAGATAGCAAAGTCAGTGAGGTCTAGAGCTGTGGGGAAAGGCAGAGGCAAGGGGTAAGTACAAGTAGCATGCTGTAGTTTGTATGGTTTATTGAGTCAGGATGAATATTTTTATGGCAGTAAGATGCATGGTGATCTTGCTATTGAGTTATAAAGGTGAATAAGTAGATTTTTTAAACATATGATATAATTTTTTGTGGAACAATCAAGAATAATATGAGATTGATAATCAGATTGAATGTAATTTTGTAATTTGTGTTCTTTAAGAGCGGAGTCAGGGCGGGATGCACCCCCTTCCCCAAGAGGATTTTTATCTGAAGTCACTTACAAAAGGAGGGAGGAGAATCTAACAGTAAGCAGATCAGAATCACACTTTTATCCCTGAGAATCAATTTTTTAATATTTGCGATGAATTTCCATTAGAATGCAAAATTTCACAGTTGTGTAAGTTTAATCAAATGATTTCCTTGCGTTATGTTTCATTTTCTTATAAATTCGATTATCTGATTTAATTTTTGGTAAAGAAAATGTGGAAAATGCGAAAATGAGGAATGAAAAACAGTCTGATAATAACTGTCTTGTTATGGTTCAAAGTTTACAAAATAAATTGGTTGGAAAGTGTACATCCAAGGATATTCCCCATTTCAACTGAATTGTTCTATTGCATTATTGAGATGTCATGAGATTGCTATATTCTTTCCAGACTGAACTTGAAAGACTAAAAGATGAGAAGAGACGAACAGAAGAAAGGTTGAGAGAAATGGAAGATAAATATAAGCTTGAACAGGCCATATTAAAGCAGCAGGCAGAGAAAGCTGCAAAAGTATGTAAAAATCTATTTAATTTTGAATGTCTCAGCTTCTTAAGTTTCTATAACAATTCTTTTTTTTTTTTCAGGATTTATTTTATATCTGTGAATACGTAGACTTTTTTAAATTCAGTTCGTATAAATATTTTATCTGTTTTATTGGAAGTTGTATTAAATTCTATAACCTACCTGTTTTTTTTCTTTTTTCAATAGGAAAGGGAACAAAGTTTGCAATCTGAAATAAAGCTGCTACGATCTGAACTCTCAAAACAAAGTGACAAAATGCAAGCTAATTATGACATTGTGATGTCTCTGCAGGTAAGCTTGGAGAATTCGTCTGATGGAGTTATAACAAATAAAATAAAAATTTTATGGTCATTGTTGGTAGTACACAAAAAATAAATTGTACGATATTGAAGGCAGATTTCCTTGAGATTCTACAAAAATTCTGACAATAAATGCACGAGCAAAAAATTCTAAAAAAAATTACTACCAGATATGGAAAACTCCGTATTTTCAGCAACAACTAGTCCAAGTGCAGGCTGACCAAGTAAAGATGAACTCCAGGGACTCCAGCCCAGGGCGTGCCAGGAGTGCCCAGTCAAGGCGGTCCCAGTCAGGGCAAAAGGAGAGCAAGATCTGTGTGCTGCAGTGAGCCACTATGGCCGCACGAAACCTCTTTTGGTGCTTACCTGCCTCAGTTATGAGCAGCAAGGAGTTCAGTAATCTCCTTGATAATCAACTGTCTGTCTTTTCACCAACTGTTGTCAGAGTTACAAAACCTGTTGTCATAGTTACTACAGCTGTTGTCATAGTTACCAGCAGTTTCCCTGATATCCATTTATATTATCTCTAAGATGAGCAGTGGTGTACTCAGTGACCATCTTTTGCTGTTTTCAGCTGTCATTAGTGTTACAGGACTTTGAGGCAATTTAGAAGATGGACATGTCATAACTATACATATATCTATATCTATGAATAGAATACCAAAAATAACATTCTCACTGAATTATTGTCAGCTGACAGCAACAACAATGCTATGAAGAGAACATTGTATAGATTACCTATAGAGTTTACAGACCAGGTATATTCTTCAGTTTGGTATTCACTTGGATTCCCCCTTTTTTGTCATTTTAAACACACTAAATTGGACTCTAATTCAGACAGATATTAGATTTTCATTATGGGATGAAATTTAAACAAGGACCCTGTTTGTGTGTGTCATTTGTTTGTATTTGTTATTTGGTATATTTTACTGTAGTCACTCCGTCCAGTGAAATGCCAAAAGAAGCTTGTGCAATTGGCTTACTGTCTCTTTCAAGAATTTTAAAATGTCACGAAAAAGATTTTCTTTTAATGTGAAGAACAAGTATAAAGTTGAACAAAGGAAGACTGTGATTTCTAGCAAAAAGCATGGTTCCCATGTAAAGTTGCATATTTACAAAAATATCAATAGAAAAGTTATTTCCAGACAATAGGCTGTCTGGGTATTTCTCCGTCCATGCAGTTAATTTAAAAGTGGCTTGAAGCTATCAGCAGAGGATTTTTGCAAAGATTGAATTATTTTTACATAGTATTTTTGAATATCTTACATATAACCAATTTGTATATTTGGTTTGGATGCATTTTATTAAAAAAGATAAGATCTTATGTTCATTTGGGAAAAAAGTTTTAAATAAAAAGATGTATGTTGATTTTTTTTACTGTTGAACAGAAGATGATATTATTGTCCTGAAGATGGGTTACCTTTTATAATTGTCTATCTGTAAGTAAACCAGTAGAAGGATACCAGATGAGGTTAATTGCAATCAAACTGCAATAAACAAAGATAGAGCTCAACAGACTATAAGCTGGTTGCTTCATATGAAGCAATAATGTAGCAAGTTTCAACACCAATATATTCTTCTAAATGATGTGAAATGTTATGTCAAAGTCTGTATTCTGAAGAAGAACCACAGGTTTCTTTTACCTTAGCACACGTAGGAAAATAATGAGCAGTCCATGTGCTTCACAATGAATCCTCAGTAATGTAAATTTGATTAGTCAGCCTTTCGATACCAAATTTGATAGTGTAAAATGTTTGAAAATGTTATTATGACATATCTTTACCAACTTCTGTTGAAAAATTTTTTTTTATAAACGGTAACTGTTGCAATGCATCACTTATAAGAAAATACAGAGAATTATAGTGTATAGTATTTATATGGATGTAAAATATACAGATATACAGAGAAAATATATAGTGCAGACAGGCTGTTTAAATAATTTTTATATATATCATATATTTGACATACTTTTTAAACTGCACATTTCAAAGTATGTATGATGTTGAATATTGCCTTGAATCTGTTGCATTAAAACAATATAAGAGAAAAGTGATCTTTTTAATTTTTTTAACATAAATTTTACTCCTTTACGTGCTTCTATAAAAATAGGTAATTGCTTTAAAGTGAATGTAATATGCCATTTGTGAAGCAGATTAAAGAAAACAAATGGAATATATCTATGTATTCCCTTCCTTTCATCTATGTGTTTGGGAAAGTGATATTCCGTACTGTGTAATACAGTCCATATTTTGGTAGAAAGTCGTTTTTTTTGCCTGGCAGGGTATTTACAATTTGGGAAAACAAACTAAACAATAGCCTATAACCACGATTTCTGTCTTACTGTTTTTATTGCTCTAATGTGGCATGTCTACTATTTCTAAGTTGCAATATATAAACTGAATATGTGTGCTCCCCTGATCCACACCGTCTTCTCGATGACACTAGATCAAGTTTGTGAAAAAAAA